CATGCAGAATAACAAGCAACCAACAAAGGAACTCCGGAGAGCCTGCTCTAATCTAAATGAACTGGCTAAGCGGAGGGGAAACGGCTCTCTTCAGCTGCTCAAAACCCCTGTGTCCCTCGCATTCTGATCACGGCTGGCGAATGGCGTGAGTTGGGCCTCGGAGGTGGGGGGTGAGGAGCCCCCACCGTGGCCCTGGCCCAGGGTCTCTGGGATAGAGATGGGCTGCCGGCAGTCCCTTGGCGACAGCCATTCAGACCAGGGCCCTGGCTCCTGGCCAGCCTCGCGCCTGGCCCTCGCACTGGGCCTCATTGTGTCCAGGTGGCAAATGCCTTCTCGCCAACTCTCCTTCGAGGTTTTAGAGAGGGGGTGGGACAGTGGAGGAGGGAGAGACAAGGGGGGTGGGTGGGCAGGGGAGGACGGCAGCCGCTCTGTGTCCCCCCCAATTCTCCCCTCCCCCCTTAGCCAGGGTTTGCTCCTCCTCTGGATTTGGTGTTGTGTTACAGACACTGGTGGGTCACAGGCAGCCAAACACAGAAGTACTGTTGCTTACACAATTGCTCTTCAAACAGTAACAAACAATGTTCATTACCCAAGTCAACTCGAATCATTCGCCTGGTCATCCTGCCTCAATCCCAGCCTCACATTTAAAAACCCCAAGCCTGGTCTGGTCGTTCTCATGTGACAAAACTGGGCTCCATTTTGCCCCCTGGCCCAGGATACTGGGCAAAGTTCGTCCTTATTCCTTCTCTGAGCAGATCAGCTAGCTGCATGGCTGTCAGGATAAATAGGGGGAGACACAAGCACTTAGGCAGTCCAATCAGATTGGGGTGCTAAGTTGCACAGTGTCTGCGTGAAGAAGCACTCAGGAGTTTGGAGGGCTCTATCGCCGAGTTTAAAAAGAATCTGACAAGATAACCCTGGCTCCCCACCAAAGCATTCACTGGCCTTAGAGGGAGTGTCAAGTTTTGACATTTCTTTATTTAATCTTTTTTGGCCAGACTTTTTTTTCAACCAGGAATGTGTTAGCTCATTCCAAAATGTCTGCATTAGAGGCCAGTCACACTCATTACTGAGGTTTTTCTACTTCTCTTTAAATAAAAGAAAAAAGTCTATAACATTTTATACTTATTTCTTAGTGGTAGAACACTTTAAAAGTATGTTTACATTTATAACTGCAACTGAACCTTAAAAAAACTGGGGGGAGGGGCAAAGCAAGGGATGGCAGGCCTAAAGATGAGGAAACAGTGTCCAGGAAAGGTTAAATGTCCTGTCCAAGGTCACAGAACAAGTGATTGAGGAGGAACACCAGAACTCAGATATCCTGACCTAGTTCAGAGTTTTGTTTTAGGATACATCTTTTCTACACCCACAGAATGCTGGAAATTTCCAGAGTAATTCATTCTGCAATTCTGCTTTTCCAGTATAACTCCCTTACCCCTTTCCAGATACTGAACTGTGCTAAGCACTGTGGCCTTTCAGTGCTACAAAGGATCCTTCTCAACAGAAGGATCAACTCCAGGCTACAAAGGATCCTTCTCAACAGAAGATTTCAATCTAATAATAGTCTTCAAAGTATTTGTTTCACTTTCCACCACCCCCAACCAAAGAGATAAGACATTTCTTTCCTTCTAATAGCTTAGGTAAGGATTATTTTAAAAGAATGATTTCATATGCCTGTCCAGTTTAAGGTAGGCACAATCAAAACGAGAAAAAGGATTGTCTAGGTCCCTTGTAGTATAACATCATAGCACACAGGGATAGCAAGTGATAAAGCAAAATTCCATTCACCTTTCATATCCTCTATCAACTCCAGTGCCTACAGGCCTATTCATTGAATTATTTTCAAAATCTTTTTCATTTTTATAGTTGTTGAGGTATAATTTATATACTGTGAAATGCACAGCATTAGGAGCTCTGGTGTGACTTTGGTGAGAACACAATGGGGGACACAGCAGTCATGGAGCAGGTTGGCCAGGCCAGGTTCTGCTACTTGAGCAGAAGTTCTTATTCCATTTATTGGAAGCATACAGGCTAGTAAAAGCTGATCATGTGGCAAGGATGCGAGGAATACAGTTGGGAAAGTGGGATAGGAATGGGGGAGAAAGTTCTATGAGCGACAGGGAAGGGGACATCATGACCATACATGAAGAGACATTTTTGTCTAAAGTGTTTGATGTTATCACAGGCAGAGTTACCCCGAGATCACCATGGAAAAAGTGGTCAGGTCTTGGCGGCCTAGGCTCCCCAGGCCTGCCTCGTGATATGATCTATACTTGATAGCTAGTCAAGGAATTCTCTGCTGTAATTTGTAGAAAGCGAATAGATCACGGTTGTCCATTAGTGGCCATCTAGTAGCCAACTCATAAGAATCCACAACTAGAGTTATGGTTTGATAAGTATTAACAAATGTACGCTTATAACCAAATTAAAATATAGAACATAACCCCCTCCCCAGAAAGTTCCTGCACATCCCTTTCCAATCAACCCCATTTCCAGCTGCCACTGTTCTAAATTCTATCGCTACAGATTTATTTAACCTGCCTTGAATATCAGGTTAAATGAAATCATGTTGTGTTTAATCTTTTGTATCTTTCATCTTCTACTCACATTAATGTCTGCCAGTGTTTTCCATGCTGTAATGTGTCAGCAATTTTTTTGTTTTGTTTTGGGTTTTTTTTGGATGAATACTGTTATGCCATTTGACCAGTTTTTATAAATACAGTCATGTTACTGCTAATTTGTCCCTCAAAGTTGTTTCCATTAAATACATCACATACACGTCTCTTTTCATGCATGTATCTCTTTGGCAATGCTTGAAGTGAAAAGAATACGTAAGTGGACTATTTTATCTGTAGCACTTTCCTTTTAGGTACAAATGGTTCTCTCTACTTTCAGTTGGACAAAGAGAGCCAGGCAGAGCCATGTGGTGGTCATGAGAACAGTCTACAGAGCAGACAGATCTAAGTTCTTATTTCTGGTCTAGCATTTAACAGATGGGTAGTCTGGGACAGGTGATTTAACCTCTCTGTGATTGTTTTCCCATTTGTAAAATGAGGATAATAATACCTTTCTAATAGGGATTTATGAGGACTAAATTATATTGTACATAAAATGTTTGGCACAACAGGAACTAGTAATAGCCTCAAGCTAGACTATAATAAACATCCTCCTGTTTCATTTACACACTTTCAGTTCCTGTATTTTATATAGTATTGATGGGTACATATTTTCAGAAATTTTAAAAAAGTGAATTTGTGGTTAGAGCTAGAAAAGTGCTAGAAATTTACTTAAAATAAGTGCCATTTTCCATAGAAAAAAATAAGCCTTCCATCATTTATTGAGTGTCAACTCTAAAGGGCTCTTCAAAAAAGTTCATAGCCCTAGCTTGAAGATGTTTGGTTTGGGGTGTTAATAAAATACACACAAAAATAATTATAATACAAAGTACAGTATGGTCAATAAAAATAATAATTAACATCTATTGATGTAGTGGTTAAGAGGATGGGTTCTGGAGTCATGCTATGTGGTTCAAATCTCAGTCATGTGATGTTGGGGAAATTACTTAACCTCTTTGTATGTTACCACACTTATTAAATGGGGGTAATAATGCCAGTTATCTAGCAGGACTATTAGGAGAAACAGATGAGCTATGCATGTATGTACTTAGCATAGTGTAAGCACATAAAACTTGGCAATAAATAGTTAACATTTATTGGATACTCAACCCATGCCAAGCACTGCATTATGTGCATTATTTCGTGTAATTTCCACCATGTTGTGAATACTATTATACCCAATTTACTAATAATGAAACTTCAGGGCTGGAAGTTTAGTTAACTTGCCTAACATTAGTACACAGCAAATACCATAGGGAAGAAATACCTATAAAATGGCAATGATGACAATAGTACTCAGCTTAAAGATAATTAAACAAATATGAAAGGTGTTTAGTCTAGGCTTAAATTGCTATTGTGATTCAGAGATAGCAGTAAATAACTTTCATGGAGACTAAGGAAGCATTAGTAAATGATGATCTTTAAACTGAGCCCTGAGCAGTGGATAGGATTTGGAGAGATGGAAATGGAGAGGGTATTTTAGATGAAAGGAAAGGAGAGGAAAAGGCAGGGAGTGGAATAAAGTCAGGGTAGAACACATTTAAAAAAAAAAAAACTAATGAAAAGTTGATTAGGTATAAAAAAATAAAAAGCTCGTCTTTCCTCCAATCTGTCACTAGTTCTGCCAGCTGCACTTCCCCAATCCATCTTTTATCATCTTTCCTTTCACCTCTATCTAATGTTATCCTTACATTCTCATCACCCAATTTACAGTATTTATGGAGTCCCTCTCTTCTTGCCAGGCACTGTTGTAGGGACCAGTGAACAATGAACAAGTCAGGCCAAGTCTCAGTTTCGATTCTGCATTATAAAAATACTGCAAACTGGATTCCCAGCTTTTGGTCGGTCCAATCCGTCGCCACCAGAGAAACTGTAAAGATACAGATCAGGTCCAGAGGCTCCCTTGCTGAAATACCTTAGAGCATTTCCCCATCAAGTTCAGAATAAACTTCAGTCTCCCTAGCATTCTGTTCAAGACTATTCACTAATTGGCCAGCACTAGTTATTTTCGTGTTCATGCCCTGTACTCTATACTTGATCACCAGTGAACCACTAAAAGCCTAGATGCTCAGCGGATGTGCCTAGAACGGCATCCCTACCGACTTCATCCTCTAAGTGAAACACACGCCACTCTGCGCGCCAGGGATAAGCCCCGTTCACCCGCGCCTCCGGCTTTCTACCCGTCCAAGCAGCACAGGCACTTGACTTGCAGATGGGCTTGGGTGTACCCCAACCCGACAGGGAGCCGGAAGAGGAGGGGCTTTGTGCGGACCCTGGACGGCCATCTTGGTCCATTCGGCCGGAAGTGGCTCGAGATTCCTGCGCTCGGGCGCGCACTGAGGCTGCGCGGAGGCTGCGAGCGTCCCGAGCGGCCCGCGATGTAGCGCCGCTGCCTCAAAACCCCCGTTATCAGGTCTCTTAGCGCTTCCGCCACCCCAGCCGCTGTCCAACCCTTCACCGGGGGGCTGCGCAGCATTTGGCACACCTCTGGGCGGTGTAGGCGCGCCGCACCAGCTTGTTCGAAAACATGTTGCAGAAACCCGAGCGCGGGGGTCTCCTCATCCTGCAGGCCGAGGGGCAGAAGGATGGCGGTCCTGACGGTGAGACCAGGCCCTGACTGCCTCGCAGGAGGCGGCCCCGAGCCCCCTTTTCCTGGACAGCCCCGAAGACGCCTTGGCGCGGTGAGGGGGAGGGGTCCGCAGAGCCGGTAGTCGCCCGGAAAGGTGCCTTGTGGCCAAAGCCTTAGCTCGGCGCGGGGCCTGTCGCCGTCTCCTTTGGACGGTGGCTGACAGGTGCAGTTCCTGCTGGTGACGTGACGGACAAGCAGAAGAGCGTGGAATACGTTAGAGACTTGAAGAATCTGTCCCCGGACATCATCGCTAGGGCTGCAGAACATGTTTTTGATTTCGAGCTGAAACAGCTTGATGGCAAGCACCACACTTACATCCTGATCAGCAGCTTAGAGCCTCTTGAGGAAGAGGTGGCTCTGGGAGGAGATGGTCCCAGATTTGGTTTTTTTTTTTAAAGATTATTTATGCATACAGAACTGGGGTACCGGCCAGAAATGGGGAGGGTGAGAGGATTCACGAGACAAGAGAGGGGAGCGAACAGGCAGATCTAGGAAGTACACAGCTGAGGGGAGCAGCGGGCGGGTCAGGAGAGGGCTGCAGCACCATGTGGTCACCTCCGGGGCAGGTGGGGCTCGAACTCAAGCAGAAGTGGCTTTAGCTTCTTAGTGCTGTGCTTTAACCTGCTGCGCCACCAGGGAGGGCCAGATTTGGTCTTTTAATGATGGTCTTGGGCCTCACCTATATGCAAGGTAATAGCGCCAGGGAAGCACAGGTCTGGGAGATGCTGTGTTGCTTGGGGTTGCGTCCCTCATAGTATCACTTCCTCTTTGGGTCCCCGAAGAGGTTTATGGAAGATTACGTGCAGCAGCGATCTCTCAATTACGGGTAGGTGCCTCACACTAGTCCTCCAGAGCGTGAATTCTCTTGAGTCCCGGAAGCAGTCTGGAAACCAGCAAGATGAAATTCCTGGGGTTCGTGACCAAACTCCATTGGAAAGACCCCCAGCAGTGGCTAGTGCAGTACTGTGAGGCCCCAGTAGAGGAGACACAGGGCCAGAGCCAGCGCTAGGGCAAGCATTCCCCCTGGTGAAGGCTGGAGGGAAGTTAGCATGGGGTGAGGGGGACATGCACCGACTGTCGTGGGTCATATGTGTAGTATAGATGGTACAATTCATAGAACTTGTATTTGTGTAAGGAGGATTTGAGTTTTGTATCTTGTTACGATTGTTATATTTAATGTATATACTGTTAATTGATGCTTATAAATGAGGTTGGTATACTTTTTCCTGTAGGATTTTGTTGTAGTTTGGCAAAATAAATTGGAAAACTTGGCATTTTTCCTCCAATCTTTGAACAAATTATGCAGCATTTTACTGTAATACTTGATTTAAACGAACTCAGCAGTGTGACGATCTAGTACCAGAAGGGGGAAAGAAACAGCTGATTGGGAATCTACCCTCCCAACACTTTTTGTCCTAAGTGTATTTGAATTAAGAAAAAAGACTGACATATGCCTCTGTTTGCTTAACTATGGTATCTAGAGAAAAATTTAAAAAATTATACCGTGGTACACTTAACCATCTTTTGGTGTGATACACTGTTTGGGAATATTGAACAAGATAAAGGTACTACTTTTTTGACCTGGACAGTGAGTAAATAAACCAAAAATTACAGTGCAGCCAGTCAAAGGCTGCAGAGGGACATTAATTGCAACTGGGGCGATGGGGTGAGGCTTGCCTGTGGTTACTTTTTTAGGAAGGGGGAAAGATGGGATGGGCAGGAAGGCAAAGAAAGAAGAAGTTGGGGGCAGAAAGTGGTATTAAAATAACTTTTTCAAGGTTACAGATGTTCCTCAGTAACTTGGGAAAAGACTTTCTACAAAGCAGCTCTGGAATATGCCCGCCATTGCCAGAGCTCTTATCCAGGACAATTTATTACAATACACAGACAGTGACGGTGACTGTCAAAATGTCTCTACATCTTCTTTCTCTGAACAGAGCTCTACAAGGTTCTTTCTTCTGCCAAAGACTTCAGAAACCAAGTGCTATTCTGGAGTAGCGTGTAGTTTTGGTGGAGATACATAATGGTGTTCCCTAACACCAGAATGTTCCACTTCAAGATTTCTTCCCTAGCACCAGGAGGCCCATGGTTCTGCCTGTCACTTCCCATTTGGGAGCAGACTCGTAGGCATTCCTTACATTCTTAACTACCCCTGAAGAGTCAGCCACATAAGCACTGTGGGCCTCTGCAATGCCTACCACCTTCTCTCTGAAAATGAATCCTGTAGTGAGGGTACATCAATTAATAGGGGACCTAGAAGAGTGGTAGTCAAACCAGAGATGGGTGCAGGGAAACTTCCCTCCTCCTGCCATGTACAAAAGGGCTGCTTTCTCCTCTCTCTTTTTTTCTGCTTTCAGTTGTGCCCAAGTAACATTCCTAAGTATGTTAAGTTTAGCATGGAATACAAATACTTTAGGACACAATGATCCAACAAATTAGATTGAAACCAAAAGCTGAAAACTTAAGGACAGACTGAAAATACGACTTCTGAACAGATTATAATTGAACAAATATATTAGGTGCCTACTATATGCCCAGGACTTTGGGGAGTCCAAAGATCAAAATGGGAAGATTTTCTTTACTTTCTAGGTTCAATAACAATTTCTCACAACTCCTGAGAGGTCAACAGTGTGCCTGATTGCTTGGTGATGTGCAGAAGGTCACCAGGTAGCAAAGGACAGCACCACGACAAGAATCCAAGCTCCTTGCCTCCAGTCCAGTGTGTTTCATACTACTCATTGCTCCCTGTTCGCGGCTTCAAGTATATTATGTGTAATTTCAGTTATCATGGCTCCAAAAACCATGCATGTGTATAATTATCTCTAGTAGCCATTTATTTACTACCTTAGATGAGCCAGTTAATGCTTTATGTTTTAATGATTTTATAACAATCAAACAGAGACGCTATAGGGTTTCACACATACAAAAGACTATAAAGTGTCTGACGGGATTGGAACTGAAGTCTGATGGAATGAGAAGCCAGAAACTTCATATTTTACATTTCCTCCTTCTCGGGACTCCTTCCAGACTTGGGTCATCTGTCTCCAGATTCGTTCTTCAAAAACTGCGGTCTCACTAGAGATAGAAACAAGGGTTATGTAGCCAAGGTAAATATGGCAAGGCACTGGCCTACAAAAGAGTAAAAAATAAGACTAAAATTAGTTGGAGCATTATCTGTGACCCAGCTCTGTCCACTGTCCCCAGTGTTCTCAGAGTATGTTCTCAAATCAGTACATTTTCCCCTTAGAGGCCATGTATCCTGTCTTCCGCCCTCTTCACTAAACCTCAAATTTAGTCTTTCATTCCATGGAACTATCAAATAGCTGCAAATGTGATTCCCAGCATTGTTCCCAGATGGTACAAAGGGCTGGCAGGACTCTTACCCTTGCCTCAGAATGAAAGACCTCCCATGTCACAGATGCCATCATCAACTTCTCAGAAGTGCTGCAAGTGTGCCTCTGGGCCCATGTGTAGAACAGGCATTGGCCATGGTGAGGCCAGGAGTTGAATTCTCTGTGACTCAGGGTCACTCACAAAGGAGAAAGAAGGCCTAGCTCTTCTGCCTCTTTCCCCTTCGGGCACAAACAGAACTAGATCTTCCTCGATGAAACTGTGTGAGTGGGAAGAACTGTGTGAGTTGGGGGGGAGGGGTACTGTCGGGAGGGTGAGGACAGATGGATGACTCCAAATCATACTAATTACCCTCCAACTGGAAAGCAAAGCCAGTGAAGGAAATTCTGTTGAAAATGAATTGTATCTTGGACAACGCGAAGGTCTCAGCCCAGCCACAGCCCCTGTGGGGCTCTTGTCACTCACCAGCATGGGGATTTTGACTCACTGGAGCTCAGGGAAGGGGTATTTGGAAACAGGTTCAGGTTGCTTATAACCCCAGCATCCTGCAGGCACACAGTGCTCCAGAGGTGGCAGCTCATTTGCGGCCCCTCCAAATCAGGCCTCAATTCACAGTCTCAATCAGAGTTTCCACTTGAAATAATTATGCTTCATGCTTTGGTCATGGTGGCAATTGATGCTTGTGCAAATTATTCCTCAAATTGTACAGCCCAGCAGAGATGGCAACAATTACCTCCCAGCAGAAACAGTGTACCGACTAAGGAGGTTAAGTATTCTGAAAAGTGTCCTAATCAAGGCCTTTGAAAAGTCCTGACTGTGTGACCTTGAACAAGGAATTCCAAACTCTGAGAATGAAGCTTTAGGAAAGAGGGTGGGTGATTAGAATAGTGCTGAGCTCCAATCCACAGCTCACACCCCGTCCTACCAGCTGTTTGCAGACCCTGTCCGGTCTCCAAGCCAGCCATGACCAACAAGCACAGCCAGCATTTCTTTAGCCTTATGTGTCAGGCATGATGCTAGTCTGATAACCACATTGGTTCATGCATCTGCACGACAGCCCCATGAAGCAGCTTCTGCATTTGCCAACATTATAATTCTATAGGGGAACTACAAGGAAAGAATAATTCCTTCCATCCTGTCAACACACAAGTTAAATGACATGTCCAAGCTCATGACATAATTAGTGAGCAGCAGATCCAAAACTTGAACCTGAATCCTCTGGGTTCTTGCTGGTATTTCACCCTGCTGTTCTTCAAATGTTTCTTAGATAGCAACCAGTCTCCTTTGGGAAAATAGGACTCAGAGAGGAAGAAAGAATCGCTCACCATCTTCCTTTGTACCAAAACCCAGAGCACCCAAGCTAGCGACCGGAGGCCGGAAGAAGGCAGGAGCAAGCTGGCTTTGCTGGTTTTAATGTCATGGGCCATTTGTCATGAGAAGGGACCCGTGTTGAGAGACAAGCCCATGGTTGAGGAAGGATGCCTCTGAGCTGCAGCTCTGAGGTCTGTGCTGGGGGGTGGGCAACCAGTGCCGGAAGGAGTAGCCTCAGCCTGAAAATTGCTGGGCGTCAAGCACAGCCCATGACAGTCATGTTACCTAACCATAGAACAGAGGAGGCCTCGACAGTAGAAAGTCCCTGGCTCCTGGCGCAGAGGGCCCTGCATTCCAGTCCCACTCTGCCATCTGATAAAGAGTGGCTTCAACAGTGACTCAAGCTCTCTGAGCTATTGTTTCCTTATCGGCAAAATAGAGATACCTCAAAGCACTGGAGACCGAATGAGAGAATTACTAAGCATCTATCGCAGCACCCGGAACGTACTGTTTTGATTATAAAATGTATGTACCCATTCAACAAATATTTACTGAGCATCTGTGTGCATACGAGGCATACATACTGAGTGCTACATACTCAGTGAGAGCAGAGAACAAAATGGAAAGGACAAAAAAATAAATAAAAATTACAAAATAAATGGAAAGGACCCTTGCCCTCACTGAGCTTACTTGTTAGAGTAGAGAGAATATAGAGGTGTGACACATAACCTGTCAGATGGGCATCTGCTGGACAGGGAAAAGTGAAGCAGAAAATGGGGAAGGGATGGTGGTAGAGTGTGTGATTTTAAATAGCCTGGCCAGGGGAAGCCTCAATGAGACGTGGCACTGGAGGCCAGACGGAAGATGATTCCCCACAAACTCTGAGGGAACTAGGGAAGAGAGGATGCATTCAGGTGGCAAAGCAGGTAAGAAAACCCAGGGTGAGAGGAGGTGGGTCAGGTTCTGAGAAATTTCTCTCACGGTGAGAGGAGGAGGATGTGGAGAGGAAGGAGCCGGTCCCGTACGCTGAAGGAGCCTGCAGATCGGGCACACAGGCCCCCGAGTATAAACAAGGAGCTAGAGTAGGAGTTCAGAAGGGGAAGAAATCACAGAGGCCTTAGGCAGTGAGGAGGCTTCCGCTGCGCCAGAAGGGGAAGGAACGAGATAATATTCTTTTTTATAGCTTTTGTTTTTCTAATTACAAATACTTACAGTGGAAAATTTGGAAAGTTCCATAAAAACAGAAAGAAGAAAATGAAATCTCTACTACTGGTGCACCCAAAGGCAACATGGTTAACAGAGTAGAACAGTTTTATATCTCTCTCTAGAGTATTTCGTCTTCACCTGCCTTGGGGATAAATGATTTCTTGCTATTTTGATGATGAGTTACAATGCACCAAGCCCCATTCCGAGCAACACATCCCTCAAATATTTCTGGGAGTTCCCAGTGGAGTAGCTCAAGTGATTTCCCAAATCTATCTGCCCACAGCATCACCAGGTGGGGTGTGGAGCCCATGAAAAGAGTCTACTGGAGATATTCCT